CATCACGATAAATGTTAAACAACGTAAATTAATTAAGTGTAAAGTGGCCCAAAGACTCGAAAAAATAGAGTTTTCAAATCATTTTAGCACAGTGATGGACGGGGTGTTACATTCCTCCCACCTTAAAAAAAATTTGATGCAAAAATTTGTCTCAAATAAGTCTTGATACTTTTTTCTCATATCGTCCTCTAACTCCCACGTCACTTCTTCCGGGGTATGATGCTGCCATCGTACCTTCACCATGAGAATCATCTTGTTACGTAAGACCTTATCAGTCCACCTAAGAATTTCTATGAGAACCTCCTCATAGGTCATATCGGCCTGTATCTGCACCTCATCGCGAGGAATAACGTGAGAAGGATCACGGTGGGACCTTTTGAGTATCGAGAGATAAAAGACATCACGCAAACCTGCAAACTCTAGGGATAGAGTGAGGTGGAATGCCACGGGTCCAATGCGCTCGATGATCGAAAAAGGTCCCACATAACGAGGGTTCAACTTCCCTCTCTTTTCAAACCACATCCTGCCTTTGTAAGGGTAGACTTTTAGGAAAACTTGATCTCCCAAGGCAAATTCCAAGGGTCGCCTATGATGATTGGCGTAGCTTTTTTGGCGGCTTTAAGCTGTTGCCAAATTATTGCAGATGATTGCGACCTTCTCTATGGTCTCCTGAATGAAGTCTAGTCCTAAGTGGCGTTAGTTTCCGACTTCACTCCAGCAAGTAGGGGAACGAAAACCGAGGCCCCTAACATATTTTTTTTCACAGGGATGAGTATAAAATTGGCCAAAACTGGCCAAAATTGGCTGAAAACGACCAGGCCGAGGCAAACTGTCGTCACAGGCAGTGGTGCCGTCGTCGAAGAACAACGGTGCCGCCGTGCTGGAACCTTGAAATTGGCCGAAAAAGAATTTTTAACACCGATTTTAGATTTTTGATTATTTTTATGTACGTTAAGTGTGTTTAGATCTCCATAGAAAAATTTAGGAAACTCAGAAAAATAGGCGCAGTAGAAACTTCGGTATTTCAGACACCGATTTGGGTAAAAATCCCTCACTTTATTCTTTGTTATAAAATTAAAGTCTAATTATAAATAATACGGTATTTTGCATAATTTAGAAAAATTTGATAATTAATTACATGTTACTAATAGAGGCGAAACTGGTTGTTTATTATTATTTGTTCTGTTTTAACTGATT